TACCAACCTCAAACAGGAACCTCCATATATATATATATATGTATATGGCATACAATTAATAACGAATTGCTTAAATAATATCTAATGAACAATACACAGGTGAGTAGATAATATGGTGTGTCGCTGGAGCCAGGGGGTGTATAGGTTAAGGAGAGGGGGCTGGTGCATGGACAAAACTGCCACTACCCTCCCACTGTGCACCACGTGCAACAATGCCTTGCACCCGAAAGGTAGGAAGTAATAGCGGTTCTAAAACACTTTGAATACTTACAATAAGGGGCACCAGGGTACTCCTGGCACCACAATCACTACAATACTCTGTAGTGGTTATGCTGGTTGGAGTGTTCCTTTAATGCTGTTATTATTTGGTAGTGGTTCTTCTCCTTTGTTTATAGATTAGTAGATCATCCACGCTATGATGGGCCAGTTTAAAGCTGTATTGTTCTCGAGCACAGTACGTTATCTGACATGCATCTAGCACTGCTGCCATGGTCTATTTATACATAACGTTCTAAAAACAGAGAAACACTATCCTTATCATTACATTTGTTACATTATTAAAAGTGCTGTTCTACAGCCTTTTCCTGTCATTGCATTAGTCTATTGATCCAGAGGATGCACTCAGCTTACTTGTGAATCATTTATTTGGAGAACCGAAGAAACTTCTAACACTAACAGCACATCAAAGAGCGAGCAAGATTCTAAGTTTGCTAATTTGGTTCTGCTTGAAACATACATCACAATCAATGCAACAACATAATTTATTTCCAGTTTTGGGGATATTTCTATTTTAGTTCCTTAAATTTTGTTACAGAGCTCTTGAAAAAGTCAAAACTATCCAATTTGTTTTTGAAGGTTTTTCTTAATGTTGCAATATTCTTTTTTTTTTCTTTCTAAAATAAATTATATATATATACATATATATATATATATTTTTTTTTTTCCAGTAAATGTATACCATGGAATTCTAAATGTATTATAATTTTTTTTAATGTTACATTGATACCAAATGGAACAAAGAAGGACAGTGTACCTCAAAAGGGAACTAGTACACAAAAAGTATACTATATACAATGTATACAATGTATATCATGGGATGCCAGAACCAATGCCAGTGAATAAGTGATTTAAAAATAGCGCGGTCGATGTGATATGTGCTACATATCAATAAGCTGTCTATCACGGTAGAAGGGCAGCATGAATCAGGACCCGACCTGGCTCGTTGCGCACTTTTCGCCCATATGACAAACACGCTCGTCAGGGGTCCTGATTCATGCTGTCCTTCTACCGTGATAGACAGCTTATTGATATGTAGCACATATCACACCGACCGCGCTATTTTAAAATCACTTCTTCACCTAGTTAATACGTTTGCTTAGGGATTTTTATTGTGTACAGTACAGTTGTTGGGGAATAGAGATAGGTGCCCTCAAATGCCGGGGGGAGAGGGTGGAGATTTAGTATTACATTCTTGACTTTGTTACATTTATTGATTGGATTACTGTGTAGCATAGTTCAGACATTAGTCGACTGAATGTTCCTCAGATTTTTTAGCATAGTGACAGGAGCTCAATTTGCAATTTGCCAGCAGCAACTCAGAGGTTAACTCGAGTTCTTGACAGCAAGCTATATTTTTCCAGACATAGACAGCGGATCTATGTCATATACTATACTTACCATTACCCTGTTACTATGCTACATTAAGTATTTGCAACTATAGCACATTATATGTGATTATAGCATACAGAGATGTAAGCTGCTTACAGATACATATTATTCTGTACACACTCTATCCTTCTGCTAGTTTTTGCGGACATTTATCAATTTACTCATTTTTTTATTAACTTGGTTAATACATATTGATAAGCTACCATGTTTTTGGTAATTTTATATTCTGTCTACTCTACATATACTTGCAGTATTATAACGTATGTACTTGAGCACATTAGTATTTTTTAGCGATAATATTGTCTTTGTCTTCTTAATAAAATGTTATTTTCTTGGACTTTTCATTGCCGAGTCTGGCACTGGTACTTCTGGCATCCCATGATATACATTGTATATATTGTATATAGTATACTTTCTGTTTCCTTGTTCCCCTTTGAGGTACACTGTCCTTCTTTGTTCCATTTGTTCTTCGCTAGGGGTTACCCCCATAATTAGTGTATCCTCTTACTGTCAGGCTCTTTTTTTCTTTTCTTTTTTCCAGTTACGTTGATACCACAAGCACTGTAAAAGTTTAAGCTTATTGTATATGTTATTATTATTATTATTATATACATAATATATAATTATATATTAGACCCTTTTACCTATTTCCTTGTGTGCATTTGCGTAGAACTGCAACTATTTGCAACACTATTTGCATGTTGATAAAGTGTCAGGATAGATGTGAAAGGCATAGAGAGCCCTCTTAGGTGTTTCACCTATTTATATTATCCCCCTCCACCCTTCCAGCAGGCACAGGGTTCTGTTTTTGGACAGGTGATTCTTTTTTTTTTTTATATGTTTACTACTTATTCTGTATTTTGGCATTTTGGATACCCTGTTATTTGTGAGGTTTGCCTGCTATTTTGATGTTGTGTTACACTTTTTTTTATGTAATAAAGATGCACTATTTATGATTTACATTGTGGATTTTACATGGTTGACAGTAAGTGCGGACGTTCTGGAGCAATGTGGCAATGTGCTGTAAGCTTGCTCATCGTTCTACTTTACGAACGTAAGTACATACAGAGTGGGTACATGATGTTCAAGTCCACAGCTTCAAGCATGTACCTGTAACATGTACTGTACAATACCATGTACAAAATTGTTAATGGAGCTGTCAGTAAACTGATGGGGCTCAAATTATGGCTTCTAACATTTTATTAAGCGGTCCCACTCATCCATTCTGTTGAATGGAGCTTCAGTCAGTGGGCTAAACTACATATCCCATAAACACCTTCTATGATAAGATCAGACCCCCGTTGACATAAATGAGAGTCTAATGGTCAAGTCTTCAGACCTGTCTACAGAGAGCATATCAACTGGGATCAGGGCCAAATGCATCATTATGAAGATAGTGTCCTGAAAGGTCTCTGCCGACGGGTGATACCCATCTCCAAGAAGGCTTAAGCAATGGGAATTACAGCTACCAGTCCATTGGCTACAGGGTGGTATCTTATTCTGAAAAATCACTGCAGAGGTACCAGGCTGTTCCTGATGGTAGAAGAATAAAGACAGAACACAGAGTGGGGTAGGTGCTGGGCTGTGTGTAAGACTTGTGTTGAAAGATATGGGAGGTATAATTTGTGATGGAAACACCAGTAGGCTCAGAGATGGGAGGCTGAGTGATGAGAGTTTGATAGATAGAGAAACAAAGAGATAGACACAATGGTTCTTAAATATACAAGGAAAGAGCTTAGAGACCCAGTTGGGCTAAAAGACATTGGCAGAGACATGGGTGTGGGTTTAGCACAGAGATGCTCTATGTGAGTTTATATCATATACTGTCAATCCTTTGTTGGCTACCGAAGATTTCTGACTACCACGCTGACTGGTTGGGGTTTTTACTAAGCTAAAAAATATTAATTCCAAGTAATTTACATTGGTAAGACACCATAAACCTATAGGATGAACATTTAATAAATTATACATAACAATCTAATTTGAATATGATGAACATAGTTGTTCAGAAAGTAGTCGGCATAAAGAGCAGAAGAATAAATACCGTGGATGTTTTAAGGGGAACTATCATATTTCTGGAAATTACACAGTTAAAGTAACATTTCAAGGCTCACAATTACTACAGCTCACTATTTTTTTAAAGAATGGTATACCCAGGGCCGGCGCTACCTGTAAGGCGGACTAGGCAGCCGCCTAGGGCGCCCCTTAGGAAGGGACGCCACCAAGAGCGCCGGCCCCCCCATGCTGCAGCCGCCCGAGCGCTCTGTAAAGAGCCTCAGGCGGCTTCAGCTTTGCCCGGGCAGTGCGTCCATGAGGGCGGACCGCCCGGGCGCAGCCAGAGGAGAGGGGCTGACAGGAGGGAAAGCGCTCAGCGCTGAGCGCTCCCTCCTGTCACTCCCTCACTGTAGCGTGGCCGAGCCCTGTATGATCCGCGGGTACAGGGAGCATCTGTCTCCTGTACCCGGACGGACTAACAGGAAGTGAACACTGAGTGTTCACTTCCTTTTAGTCCGGCCGGGTACAGGAAACAAAAGCTCCCTGTACCCGCGGATCATACAGAGCTCGGCCATGCTACAACTGAGGTAGGGGGTGGGTGGGGGGAATAAATGGACAGGGAGGGGAGAGGGGGAATAAATGGACAGGAAGTAGGGGAGGAATAAATGGACAGGGGGAGGAATGGGGTGGACAGGGGAACAAATGGACAGGAGTGGGGGAATAAAATGGATCTGGGGAATAAATGACAGGAGGGGGGAATAAATGGACAGGAGGATGGGGGACAGTGGACGGTGGGAGGGAGGGGAGGGGGGAATAAATGGATAGGGGAATAAATGACGGGGAATAAAATGGACAGGAGGGGGAAATTAAATGGACAGGAGGGGGATAAAACGGACAGGTGCTGGGAATAAATGGACAGGGAGGGGGGGATAAATGGACAGGCAGGGTGGGGGAATAAATGGACAGGCAGGGTGGGGGGAATAAATTGAAAGGGGGGAAAATAAATTGACAAGGTGGGGGGGAAGAAATTGACAGGGAGGGGAATTGACAGGGTTAGGAGGGGGAATGAGAGTGGGGAGGGGAGAAGAGAGTTACAACGGGGGAGACGAGAGTGACAAGGGAGGGGGAGAAGAGAGGGACACGCAGGGGAGAAGAGAGTGACAAGGGAGGGGGAAGAAGAGAGGGACAAGAGGGGGGAGAAGAGAGGGACAAGAGGGGGGAGAAGAGAGGGACAAGGGGGGGAGAAGAGAGAGACAAGGGGGGGAGAGAAGAGAGTGACGAGGGAGGGAGAGGGGGAGAAGAGAGTGACAAGGGAGGGGGGAGAGATTGACATCCATCACACACACACAATGCACCCCTTGCACACAGAAAAACACACAATGCATTACACACACACACACACACACACACAAGCAATTCAACCCTTACACACAATGCATCCCTTACACACACAGAAACACACAATGCATTCCTTACACACACTCAATGCACCCCTTACAGACGCACACACTGCATCCCGTACATACATAGAAACACACATTGCAGCCCTTACACATACAAACACAGATTCACACAATGCATTCCTTACACACATATCAGGACATCCCCTACTCCTGTGAACAAACTAATTGGTGGAACATGAAGGTGGATCCTGGGGCCCAGACCTTGAGCTGTGTAAAGGGCCTTAAAAAAATTGAGCTGCTTCCCGTTCTCCCAGAACACAAACAGCCTCCAGAGAGCCTGTTCTACACCAGACAAGTGGAGCCAGACTGCAGCTAGAGCCCATCACCATCCTCATCTGGTTGTAAGTAGGCAATCTAGTATATTATTCGTGGCACTAATCTCTAATTTACCTCACATTTAAGAAACACTATAGTCCCCAGAACCACTGCAGCTTAATGTAGGGGTTCTGGTGTCTATAGCCTGTCCTTGCAGGCCTTTAATGTAAACACGGCGGCACTGCAGCACTTGCGTTAGTTAACATGGGGCATTGTGATGTCATATGGGGGGGCGGCAAACTTTACTTTTGCCTAGGGCGGCAAAAATCCTTGCACCGGCCCTGGGTATACCTCCCAACATGTGTCCTCTGGGCAGTGCACAGAGTAAGTGCATCTAATGGAGTACTTGTGTTGACCTGCCTGGGTTCAGTTACCATGGCAGGACAGTTGGGGCTCATGCTGCCCCGCTCCCCACCCCCAATGGCAGTCAATAAGCAGTCAAACTATTTTAGTACAGATTGACTTCCTTCTGGGACTGCTGGGTGCTTCTCCCCGCCTCCACAATTAACGATGCAGATCCAGAAGTCCTATGTAGGAGCTTCCTTTAGCCCTCATGAACTAATCCCTAAAGTGAAGGGTTATCTTATAGGCTGAGATCACCTGATCATTCTCAACCAAAGAGCTAAAGGCAAAGCTTATAACAATGATGGACAGGGACAATGTATGCAACAAGTAGGACAGATAAACCACAAGACAAACAACAGGTCAATAGGTTGTGATGTCAACGTTGGTGTGCTGCTCAGTCATTTGGGACATTGCATTGTCTTATATCCCTCTTCTGCCGGACATTAAAACCTGACTGTACTCCTGCTTATCGTTCTTTTTTATATTTCCCATTTAGCTTGGACATTGTGCATTTCTAGTAAGTAGAATCCTGATTGTCCTATTATTGCAAAATTTGTTATATAAAAAAAAAAACCACACTGACAGTTATTGATGCAAAAATCATACAGTCAAATATTCACGCTCATTAGAGTTCAATTTTTTTCATTTCTTTCCTTTATCATCATGGATTTAATGTGTATGATTACAGACAGACTGCTACACTGGGGATAATTGATGCTTAGCATGACTAAGTCTGTAAACACCCAGCCTTAGGCAGCCTGGCAGACTCCAATTCCCATCCTTAGAAACCACACCAGAAAGCACAGAATGTCTCAGTATCAGTCACTAGGAATCTGTAAAGTCCAATGGGCATGTACATAAAACAGGGAATAAGAATAAAGAAACTGCTGCAAACTGCAAGTATATTTTTCTTCATTAAAAGCTGAAATAAGAGAAAGGGCTTGACTGCCATCCTGATCGGATGCTGAGCTCCAGGAGAAAAGCTGATTTTTCTAATCTTAACAGATTTACTGATCATGATTTCAGGTATTTTAACACTTGTGTTTTCCCTCATTAGCCTGGTGGATCAAGAGCAACACTCAGGGAGCCTCTCCGAACATGTCTGGCAGCTATTGGAAACGCTGGACTCTCAAGCATTGTGTAAGGGCTTACGTAAGGACCTTGAGATTATTTGCGGTCTGCGTTACTTGTATAATGGTGTCCCCCTGCAGCTGACTCACCTTAGACTTTTTCCGTTATTTGCAACAAAGTTCTTCTTCTAAGCATGTTATCATTTCTGAAACAGAGTGGTATATGGTTAAACTACCCTTTTTCTTTCAGTTATATCACCGCAACCATGTACACTAGCTATTTTGTGCTATTTTTCTTATTTAGTTCTGAGCATTGTGATTATTAAGCCTTAGCACTGCTGAGTATTATATATTTTAAAAAAAAATTGTGCAGATATATTGACACATGTATCACATTTTATCTGATGCGACTTTTATGTTTAATGATACTGTGTTTGAAGATGTCACTTCACTGTAAAAAAAAAAAAAAAGGAAAAGGAAAAATGAGTATCTACTGTTTAAACAACTTTGTTAGAGTGCTAACTCTAGCCACTGGGATTCACCAACAGCAATGACATGCAACATATTACTTATTCACTTTTTCATGGGGCTGGCAAAGCATATTGGGAGAAAAGACACCAGCAAGATGGCTACCTGTTGTTTACCTCCAATATACAGACTCTTAGCAGGCAGTTACAAGTCATTCCTATAATAATGATATCTTTTTTTAAAGGGACACTATAGTCACCCAGACCACTTCAACTCAATGAAGTGGTCTGGGTGCCAGGTCCCCCAGGTTTCAACACTTTAGATGTAAACATAGCAGTTTCAGAGAAACTGCTATGTTTACATTGCAGGGTTAATCCCGCCTCTAGTGGCTGTCTTTGTGACAGCCGCTAGAGGTGCTTCTGTGACGCTGGATGCAAAATTCGCATCCAGCGTGCAGAACGTCCATAGGAAGCATTGAGAAATGGTTTCCTATGGACTGTTAGAATGTGTTGCACTGAATGGAATTGTATGAGGTCTGTCACGCACACAAATCCACAAGTGAGAAGAGATTTGAAGGCCAATTAAGAATCCCAAAGAATCTCTGCAATGTAATGGGAAAACTGCAAATCCTGGAAAAATTCTCCAATCTGGCTATAATCACAGCTGAACTATTGCAGCCTAAATTTTATCATTTGAATTTCCAATAATTCAAAGTTTAGCAACGAAACCACAGGTCTTCAATGTCTATTAATATTGCCATGACCAATCATGTATTATAATGTGTACAATTTAAGGGTAAATTAATTATGTACAGTACAATAATAGATCTGACCCCCATCTTAGTACATTTATTTACCAACTACTGTGTTGAAAAGCAACATATTCATTTTGTATATATTTTATTAACAGTCTGCAACAAACAATTTTTGCCGATTATTTCACATTTATTATATATACAGTTGATGCAAGTCTGGTTATTCAATAAAAGTTCGTATTTTTTTTACATTTCAGTACAATACAGGGTTGTTGCCTTTCACTCTAGTAGCCTTGGCGATAGGTATTGCTTTGGGGTAGCTTTTTAGGAGGCAACATACTTTTATCATTCTATAGTAGGCAGTAGCTAACGAAAGCATCTCAGCACAGGATTTAGGGGATACAGGGAACAAACTTTATTTGTACAATTTTTCCCAGAATTGAAATTTTGTTTGGGATGTCCATTGCTCTTCCATGTAGCAGTTTGGCTTGGTTGGACTTTACTCATGACATATAATTTGAAGAAACATTCGGACAAACAAAAGGTAAGCGAACGTGAGCCAATCAGTGTACAGCAAATTTATAAATAATATATACAAATCTAGATGGTTTTTTTATGGCCCCTTTTTTTTCATCTGTTTATCACTTCTCCCATGATCTGTGAATAAAAGAAACATTTAGTGGCTGCCCCCTAACCAACAATCTTCTTTTTTCCTATGAACAATTTTTTTATATTTTTTTGTAGCACCACAGGCAGAGCTTAATAGTGGTTTCCTTGTTTTTATTTCCGCATGTCTTTATAGGTATTCGGCCAAACAACCGATCAGCCTAAATTCATCCGAATTAGGACGAAACCTGATTCTCAAGTCTAAAAGGTAGAGAGACAAAATGGGGTAAAGGGAGAGTAAAATGATATGATTGGGGTTGGCAGGTATAGGACTGCATGAGTTAAAGGATGGCACTAGGCATTGCTCCTAAATGTAATCTTGAGGGAGGGGTTATCATATTTTGATACAGGCTAAATCCCCAGGAGATTTCGCAATTTTGCAATGCTCCAGGCACAACAATATGTCTCATTTACACTATTGAAGGCTGCAAGTGACCTCCTATTTTTAATATATGATGTAGATAATTAAATATAATTTAAGAAAAATAGGACAAATAGTTTGTCCTAGTTTCAAAAAAATATATATTTTTTAAATAAAACATGTTAGATTTCCTGCAGCTGCTGCAGTGGCAAATAGTTGTTTATCAAATAAAATATAAATGTATGATATACAATAAAATGACATATTCACTGGCGTACATACCACGGTCGCAGGGGTCGCAGCTGCGACCGGGCCCGGCCCACCAGCGGGCCCGGCCGCCCTGCGACCGGGTATGTAAGCCAGTTTGCCAGTTTGCCAGCCTCTTCTACTGGGGGGCCCATGAGCTGGCCACCTCAGGGCCCCCCGAGGCTGTCAGTGGCATTACCAGGCGGAGGCGCGAGGAAGCATTCTCCCCTGAGCGCTCTCTGCCCAGCTCCCTCGCGTGCACCGCACTGATGCCATAGCTGGAATATGACGTCATTCCGGTTCTGGCATCAGTAAGCGGCGCGCGAGGGAACTGGGCAGAGAGCGCTCACTGGACCCCAGGGAATCCTCTCAGCAGTCCCAAAGGTAGGGAGGCTGGGGGATGCATTTAAAAAAAAAATATGAGTGTGTGTGTATATATGTGTGTTAGTGTGTGTGTGTTACTGTGTGTGTGTCTGTTACTGAGTGTGTTAGTTGTGTGTTTGTGTGTGTCTATTGAGTGGGTGTCTGCTAGTGAAGGTCAGTGTGTGTGTGTTTTAGTGTGTGTGTCTGTTAATGAGCTTGTTAGTTTGTGTGTGTCTGTTTGTGTTTGTCTGTTAGTGAGTCTGTTTGGTGTCTGTTAGTGAATGTGTATTTGTCAGTCAGAGTGCATGTTTTGTAAGTGAGTGTGTATGTGTGTCTGTCTGTCAGTGAGTGTGTATGTATGTCTGTCACTGAGTGTGTGTCTGTCAGTAACTGTGTGTCTGTTAGCTAGTGTGTATGCGTCTGTGAGAGTGTGTGTGTGTGGTCAAAACCCCTTCAGCACTTACTTTTCTCCAGCGCCGGGCTCCCTTGGCACTGGGGATCTCTCCGCCCCGATCCGCCTCTCAGCTCCATATGCGCAGCCCGGGTCTTCTCACTGTGATTTTCGCAGAAGCGC